CCCGCGCCTGGGCAGAGTGGTTCCGGCCCCGCTGGCACCCTGACCCCCCGGGGGGCAAAAGGAGAGGGAAGGAGGGCTTGAGCTCGGTAAGCCCGGCTCAGCGCGGTGCAGCAGCAGCACAAGCCTTCCTGCCGGCCATGACCATGCTGTTATTGGAGTTCTGGCAATGAACAGTGCAGAGAAAGGAGAAAGCGCATCAGAAAATTTACAGTTAAGCTCTCATTTTCCAACAAAAGGGTTCACAACGTTCGTGCTGTCAAGTCACTCATGCATCGCTGCCACCAACTCCGTTGCAGCAGGAAACGGGCACGGCAGGGGCTCTGCTGCCGCTGGTACATGCACACACACAGGACTCCTTTCCCCCCCAGTCCTCAAGGATACGCTCCAAAACATTCGATGGCTCAAAGCACCTTTCCCGGCTTGCGGGATGGGGCTGGTTCCACACTAGCCTTGCGTTTCGTTTTCTTTGCTATCAATCTCTTTTTTGGGTTCGTTTCTTTTTTTTTTTTTTTTTTACTTTTTTGATTGTTGTCGTTTCATTTTCTCTTCCCCCCCAATTCATTTACGATCGTTTTTGGAGAAAATCCATTTGGCTGTAGGTCATGCCCATGCAGTTCTGGTCATTCACAGACATGCTCACTCCCATCGGACATCGGTAAGAACAAATGGCCAACATACAGAAACACCTGGTGTACTCCATACACACTCCAGCAACACAAGCTTGGAAAGAAACCCCCGAGTCTTCACGGGAAAAGCACCCCGCGAGGGCGGGCGCAGGGGAGATGGGTACAACCCTGATGGGTTTTAAGGCAGGAAAGTCTGTGGCAGCTTGTCTGACTGGGATCGTCTCAGGGAGCGACTCCCCCGCAGCGGAGGTGGTACTTCAAAGGAGCAGTGGGACCCTCACCCCCTGAGCGGGTGCCACCAAGCAGACCTGCAGGTAATTAAACTGTGCTGTGGTCTTCAGAGTCGGCTCTTCGGGGCTCTCCCCATGGGTCAACGATGGGGTGACGAAGGTTCTGCCTTCATCTGACTTTCACGAGTGTCAGTGTAGCACGGGACGAGACGTCACCGGGACTTTTATTGCCTTGCTGTGACTTTCGTGAGGGCAGCTACAAGATCACCCACGTTCCATCTTGACATTAAACACACGTAGGGAGATCAGCGACAGAACTACACCTGAAGGCTTCCAATTTTTATGTCAAGTGGGAAAAGGCAGCCGAGCGGATGAGTTACTGGGGCCAAGAACTGCACATCCCTCCACTTGATATGGGGCATCATTACTTGACCATCACTCGACTCGCCCTCCCTCCACCATCGCCCACGGTGTGCCTCGCTGGGAGGAGGCAGGAAAAAGGTTGTTGTGCGTGCGCTACAGGTTTCCGTCAATAACAGAAACAGGCGGTTTATCAGAGTTCCAAGGAATTAAAATAGCAAACTCAAATATGGATTAGCCTTAATTAAAACTGTCAGAGGTTTTGGTTCTGCAGCTGAAACGCGAGCTCGTGCCAAAAAGCGGTATGCTCAGCTCCCGGTGCGAAGGGACTCTCCAGGCTCGCTTCAACCACGTAGGAAGCTCGGGAAGCTGTCAAGCTGTTAGCCAGGCTGCCTGGCGCAGACGAGGAGGGTTACTTTGCTAGACTGCTATGCCGATAGGAAAGTGTTGCTAGTTGTTTTCCAAACCTCCTCCCGCAGCGTAACAAGGCTTCGCTGCCGACCCCCGAGGCACACGCTCCTCTGCGGAGCGTCCCCAGAGTTCCCGGTGCCGCCCCATGCTGCCAGACCCGCTGTCCCACAGGCTCAGAAGGCAACAAGAATGCTCAGGGTGTCACACACCTCTTAAAAATTAAATTGGAATTCCTGTCTTCAAAAGCCCGACTTCTTTTTCAGAGGGGAAGCGAGCGAGACGAGCGGAGAATCACTCTCTTCCTCGGCACCGCTCGCGCACGTGCGCCGTTTCCACGGGCCTCGTGGGATCGGTGCTCGCCCGGCACCGCAACCACCAGCTGCGAAGTCCCAACAGAAACGACGAGCCCAGACAGACTTTCCAGCCTTAAAAACCACGTGGTGTTTCGGAGATCGCTCCGCCTGGAAGGCGGTTTTCCCTTGAAGACCGCGTTTCCCGTTTTTGCCTCCCCTTCCCAGGCTTGTCTTGCCCCTCAGCAGCGCTGAGAAATAAGGTAAACAGGAATGTGATACCAACCGTGAACTGCCGGTTCTGTCGTCGCCGTTGTGTCTACACACGGGAACAGAGGATTGGAGGAAGGGAAGAAACAGGAGGAACGGCATGCAAAAAAAGGGAAAATGGAAAAAATGGAACAGATAATATATGAGCAAGCTTTCAAAGAACATTGCGTGACAAGCAATAATAAAATGAAAGGCAAAAAGCATTTGAAGTGAGTTGCACTGTTTAGAAGACATGCCTCCAGTTCAAAAGCTATGAGCCTGAGGAAAACAGTAAATTTTTCTCTTTTTCCAGGACCTTGCCAGAACAATTACTGGTGGTTGCAAAGTCAGGGGAACAGGAGACGGGGGAGAACACCGACACCAACGCTTTCGTTGGCAAGGACCAAAACAGAAGCTCGGGAGCGGGACAAAGAGCCGACACTCGGAAAAGAGCTTTTGCGCATTCAAACATTGCCTCCGCCGAAGCGCCGCCACCAGCGCCTGCTGCACTCCCACCCCTCCTCTCCTCCATCCGACGTGGCAACCTGCTGGCGCGTCAGGACGTGGCACAGCCTCCGAGCCCGGACTGTTTCAGAGGTGGCGAGCAGATGCTAAAAACGAAGGGAGTGCCGGAGACCTCCCGTCCAGTGCAGAAGGTGCGGGGGACCTCCTGCCTCGGCTACGCCGAACCACGCGCCTGTAGGACACGTGGTTTCTGCAGCGTAACGAACGCTGTTCCAGACTTGGCCAACGCCGAGAGGCGTTACCAGTCTGACTGCTTAGCGGCTACTGGTGATTAAAATATACTGGGGTTGTTTTGGTCGGCAGCCTGAGGCACGTATTACGCACCACTGGAATTTCCGGGGGCTGCTGCCGTGCCAGCGGAGAGACGCTCCATCTCTTCTCAGGTGTTTGCAACGGGCAATGTTAAAGTCAGAGCCAAATCCAAAGGTTTTTTCTGACAGCATCCTATGTTATTTCCTCTACGCCAACAGGTCTAAACCGTGTTAATTCCCATCATCCAAAGTAGGGGCTTATTTAGCTACCGGAACTCGGTGGCTCGTCACCTGGTTCTTCACACCCTTTGAGGCTGGCTGCTCGCGTCGGTGGGCCGGCTCCTCATGCCAGGACCATGACTGCCCGTCCCTACCGACACCCTGGAGCGGGGAGCAGAGCCCGGGCTTCGCCCACCTCCCCTCGCTTCGATGCAGGCAATGTTTAAATGAGCAACACCGTGCGGCTGGGCGCAGAGCAGCTCTCTGCTGCGTGTTTCCGCACCGCAGCCCGGAGCTTGAGTTTTGGAGCAACGACAGACCGTTCACATTGGCGTTTCCCCTCGTTAACCTGCTGCCGGAGAAGCCCCGGACGGGTCGTCCTCCTGCACGCCCAGAGGTGGCAGTGCAGAAAGGAGGACTCGCTCCTTAGCGACTTAGCTGAGGACAGCCCAGGTCCGAATTTCTGAAGCACCAGTGAAGACAGGAATCATACAAGGAATACACAATACTTACAGATAGGAGGTCTACATGCTTTAATTACGAAAGCAAAACAAATAAACCCTGCGCAATTTAACACGCTGCACCGAGATGTGCGGAACAGATTAGCGAGATGTCGTTAGCCTGTCCCCCTGCCAACACGTACTGCGCTCATCCTGGCAATGGAACCCAACGCACGCCCGAAGGCGCCAGCGCTCGTTCTCCTGCCGGGAGCTCTGGCGGAGGCTGCCCGGGAGCCTTCCCAAACGGAAAGGAGAACGAGAGCGGGGCTCTTCGACGTGCTGGGGCAGCCATCCCCCAACGATGCCTCGTTTTAACCAAGTGAGTGGTGAAGGGGAAGATGGTGGTGAAGGTGGGGGGAAAGTTGTCGTTTAGAAAGGGTTGTAAAACTGCGTATTAATTCCTGAGATAGCGTCTTGGCATCTATAAATAGCCTCAATTTACTGTCTTCCTGAAATAAAAAGAAGTTACATCAGCTTTTACGCTAAATAGAGAATCTGCTGAAAGCAAACTCGTGTTCACGTGCTGGAAGAGATATTAGTCAAGAAACAGTGCAAACTGGACAGTGCATCTCGCTTCCCCGGCTGGGGACAGAGACCAACAGGTTACAAAAAAATAAAGTTCTCAAGCGGTTGTAAGTGCGAACAAATATCCAAGTCAAACAACATGTTGGCTGCAGCTGGAATGACAAAGTTATGATTAGCAAATGGTTTGGATGGTTGCAGTAGGAAACACAGACCAGTTAGAATGAGTTTTCTGGAAGTCCGTTTCAATCCCAGAGTCTTCTTTGAGAAGAAGGAGTGTACGCGCACAGCGCTCCGAAGAGGAATAATCTCGCGTTAAAGCAAAGCACGGGCGGCCCCCGACCCAGGCGCGCTGCGACGGGGCTTGGGTGACGACGGAGAGAAACATCGTCGCTGTCGCTTTGGCAGGAAATTAATGAACGCGTGTCAAACCGTGCGTACGCCAAATTCCACCGCTGCTCTGCCTCGCGTGGGAAGCGACATCCCCGGCCCCAAGATGTCCCATGCTCCTGAGAGCGCCTGGCTAGCCTGAAGCGTGCTTTCCTGAATTCCAGGTACGTGCCAGTGACTCCTACCTCGCTGCCAAGAGCTGCTGCCTTTATATGCCAGACCAGACATACAGCACCCTAGACATCAGGCTTCTGCCCCATGTCCTACAAGAAAAATCAGCTCTTCTCCTCAAAGACGGACCAACAAGAAAGTCCTCGATGTGTTTCTGACTTAACTAAGGCTGAACGAAGCCAGCGAAAAGCTTTGCCGTCACCAACAAGCACCGTTCTGGCCCTGAGCCACAGGAGCGAAGAGCAGCCGCGGAATCGCACGAAGGTGATGCGTGTGGGTTAAAACGGTCAGCTGGTGCTGAAAAGGGGCTGTTTTACGAGATGCAGCAAAGCAGAGGGGACAAAGTAGAAAGCACAGAAACGAAGAGGCTCAACGTGGTGCTTTCCATCCTCACACAAAGGCTTCTCCTCCCGATTCCGATCGCCAAGACAACAAAACGCGCAGTATGGGGAGAAGTAAAACAACGCAACGGTCTTTCCAAATCTACGTGTACATAAATTCCCCAGAGGACCGACTGCTTTATCATTAAAGAAGGTACCTGAGAAAGGAACCGTTGGCCTCTACGAAGCTGCACGTTTCACGTAATCGTGCTTTCTTTTGAGCGTTGGTCGCAAGAACAGAGCTTGGCGTGGCCAGCTCTCGATGAAGACGCTAACGCACGTCGTCTTGCGATACAGATGGTGTTATCTGCCAGCTAAGGGAACTCGGACGACACCCAAGTTTCAGGCACTCACCACTTCATTAGGCAGCTACAGAAGCGCGCGCGCACGCACGCAGATATATACCCGTATTTATAGAAGCGCCGCAGGAAGGCATCTGGGCAACATTGAGTTGAGTTACGAGCTCCGTCGCTATGCCTCCTCGGTTTTTCAAATGGATTCTCTCCAACTTCAAACTGTTGCAGAGTGTGACAGACTGGGCCCTTTAAACTCGCCCGTAATTAGTCCGCATTCTTAAACAGAACGAGCACGGTGGAGGAATATTAAAACCCCAGCAGCAAAATTAAATTCGCCAACTTGAGCGCCTGGACTGCGGAGCTGCAGCCTTACAGAAGCACCGGAGCTCAAAACCACCCAGCTGGTGTAAAGAGGGGTACGGCAGCATGTCATCGCGATGACGGCACAATACGCTCTTTTTTCAAACGTAAAGAGGTGTCAGTAAGTACAGATATCTGCTTCTTAAATTCCTTTCTGAACCGAAAACAAAAGCCAATCTGTGGAGCTCTTATTCTTCCCGATTTTCCAGACCACTTCACGCGTATGGGCCAGGGTGAGCATGAATTCCTTCACGCCACTGTCTTCAGGGCAGCCCCAGGGACCGGCGTGCAGCATTACATGCAGGACTTCTGCTTTGCTGCAGGTCCTCGGGGCGAGTAACAAGCCCTGCAACCCCCGCCGTTCCCACTGAACAGACCTGTTGGACACCAGCAGAGACGTGACGTTTCAGCAACGCGGTCCGAGGGGCAAAGGAGTTCCAAAGACCCTCAGGGTGCAAAAGCATGGCCAGCACCCCCCAAATGCCCCTCGGGAGGATGGATGAAACCGTGCTTTGCGCTACGATACTCTACGACGATGCTCCGTGAACCCTTCCAGCTCACACCGCACACTTTCGTGTACGGGCGTGTGCAACACCCCCGGAGATGTTTTGTGGCACCGCGCACTTTTGTGTACAGGCGTGTGCAACACCCCCGGAGATGTTTTGTGATGTTTTGGACCAGATGTTTCACAAAAAATAATCGCAATCTGCACGGCAGTTGGGTGCGACAAGAACGAAACCAGTCCGAAATCAGCGCCGCGGCTCCGCCGACGCCTTTTCACCTTTCTCCATAAAGATCTGCGTGGGCAGGGGCGTTCGCTCCCACCGCTCTCCACTGACACCAAAGAGACCGCGGGCTCAGATGGCGGCTCGCCACGCTGCCGGGCGTCGCACGCACCCTGTGCCAGCCTGACCTCTCCTCTGCTCCCCCCGCAGCCTGCCCGTGCCGCCTGAGAGGGGTGAGGGGGCCTGCCCAGCTCCCTCTGCCCTCGCTCGCCCCGAAGCACGCTCGCCTTCTGCCCAGCAAAACGATGGTGTCTGCACCGGTAAGAGCGGAGGTGGCAGCACCCTGTCTGCCAACTGGATGTGGCACCAAAAGACTGAATTTGATTTGACTTCATTTGCTGTAACAGGCCTGTCAGCTACTCTCTCTTCCTTTATTCCCTTTGATGCAGTCGCATCCTGGATGGAAATGTCAGAAGAGCGCAGTACCACCTTTAAATTAACTTGACATTTTAGCAGGGACATGCAGCAGCTTCGGCGGAAAGCAGAAGTTAAATAATAAATAATTTGGGGGAACAAATCACTCGGCTGAGCCCCTGCACGGCAGCACTGAGCACCCAGACACGCTGGGAAGGGAGCTGCGGCGCGGCGGGAGCGCCTGACGGCTCCTGCCCACCTGCCCGTCTCCTGCCTGGGCACCTCCAAAGGGCCGCGCGGAAAAGTGGGAGAGAAGGCTGTGCCCGAGGGGGATCTGCCAGCTGGCCACCACTACTGCTGCAAGACGGACAGCGGGGGCTTTGCGGAATCACCGGCATCCAACGCACGGCGCGGAAAAGTGGGAGAGAAGGCTGTGCCCGAGGGGGATCTGCCAGCTGGCCACCACTACTGCTGCAAGACGGACAGCGGGGGCTTTGCGGAATCACCGGCATCCAACGCACGGAAAAGAGCCGGTAACGTGCGCGAGCGCCGCACCCCCGGGCCTCCACCGACACCGTTGCCAAGACACCTGCGCGATCCATCTGCGGAGAAAGCGTGATAAATGCAAATTTGCGTGTACAAATAACAGCGCCGATCCCGGCGTGCGGAGGCGTACGTGCTCAGCAAGACCAGAAGGCGGCAAAGCGATGCTCGGAAAGGCGGGCTGGAACGCTCCCCTCCGCGCCGTGCCATGCCGTGCCCAACGATGAGGGCTTGGCTACTCTTGAGAACCTCTGTCTCCCAGGAAACAACAGCCGTCCAGAACCAGCATTTCAAGGGCCGACTCCAGGGGTAATGCAAATGATGCAGTTTGCTCTGCTGTATCATAGAGCACATCTTAATGAACAAAGCCACAAGGACAATTTGAACTGATAAAAAAGGGCTTGCCAGCGATAACAGCTGAAACTCCAAAGAACGGTCGGAATATCAATGCAGTTGGAGGATACACGAAAAAAAATCCAACTGTCACGCAGGAAATCTCTTCAAGCACCTACACTGAAGCAAAGCAACAGTGACAGAGGAAAAGCTGTAAAGGTCGTGTTGGCTCGGAAACTTCACCGCTGCGAAGAACCTCAGCTTCTCCTTCTCCTGGAAGAAAGCGGCAGGTTAGCTTTGCGGAGACCTTCCCCAAAACCTCCTGCCCTACAACCGCCTCATCGGCTCCACGTGCCTTCGAAGGTCAATCCCATGGCAGCGGCGATACGGGATGTGGACACGCCAAGCAAGAGGAGCTGATCCAGGGACCCTTTGCTCCAGACATGGACCTCGGTGGGTTGGGGGGGACCGGGAGCGCGCAGTGGAGCACGACCACGCTCCGTCGTGTGCCTGCACGTCTGTTACCGGCCCTCTCCTGACTCGCGTTCGCTGAGCAGCGCCTGTCGTCACTCAACAACAAGCTCTTTGGGACAGGATTGTGCTTCCACATCGTGTCTGAACGCGTTCGGAGCAGAAATCCTGCAGGTAAGCAAGTGGAAAAGGCATCTGCCATCGGAGCCTGCACGAAAGGAGGCACTCACCAAGGGCGCGGAGCAGCAAACGCAGCCCTTGGAGATCGTTCCGTTGGGTAGTTTCAGGAGGGGAAAATGAATCCCGCCCAAGTAATCTCCAGTAACTTAAAAGGACTGCTTCCAAGGACATGATTTCCTGAGGGCAGCTGCCAGAGACGCCAGCAGACCTACAGCTGAGCTCTGGACAGAGAAGCTGTTCCAGTGCAGGGGTCTCTTCCCTTTTCTTTTTTTTTAAATCAAAGCCAATTGATATTTGGAACTCCTCTGGTTTCAGGGCACACGAACGAGGCCAGTATTACCCAAGAAATAGCAGGAGGAAAGGCAAAAGAGAAGAGGTTTCAAGTCCCCTTCACCCTGGGGAACGGCTCGCGCCCCGTCTGCCACCACAGCACTTCTGTCACACCAGAAGAGTACTGCGGCGTTTTGGGGATGATGGGAACTGAGCTACCAATTGTCTCTCAAGGCTTTAAAAAGCGTTTCAACACCGCTACGCTACGTAATTCCACCGACTATGTTAATTCAACCTGATTTTTTCCAGCTACAAAGTCTCTCCACTATTGAAGAGCAAAAGTTTCTGCAGCTTCATACGTCCTGGCTGTTGCCTGGAAGACAATCGCACGATGTTTCTGCCCCAAGAAGGGAGGCGAAGCCTTAGCTGTTCTTCGTGGGAAAACCACGCTGAGCTTGTGGGCAGCAGATGTCAAGAAGACGTCTTTTTGACAAATGTCAAGAAGATTCAGCATTAGGTGTCAGGGAAGAATATAAAAATTTCTCTTATCAGCACTAACTAATCTTCTTCCTACACACTGTGAGCAGTAGGAATCAGTGAAGGTTATTACATTTTCATGATGTTTCGAGCACCTTCAGCAGTTCAAAGCCAACACAGAAAAGCATTGAGGAGGTGATGATGGCTTGGTTGGGCTTTGCCAACAGGCCATCAGCATCGGGTTTGAGATCCTCTGTCATTGCAAAGGTGTGAGACAGACACGGGACAGCCACGTGCTCCTGCTCCCCAGGTGCTTCTGCCAGGCCGACAACAAAGAACCCCAAATTCTGCTCGTCAAGGACACAAAGAGCTGCTGGTCAACGTGCCTTTCTGTGGGTCTACTCATCCTCCACTGCAGCCCCACAGAGCAGCGCCCTCACAAAGGGCAGTGCTGACCCTCGGGGCAGCGGTCTGCTCCGACGGGAAGTCACCAAGGAGAAACGGCTGGAGAACGGCAGGCCGAGAGGCCCTCCCTTCCTGGAAGACCATCACCCCTTCATCTCCGCGTTCAACACAACACTGGAGCAGGACTTCAAGAGCGAGTTCTTACAGGGAAAGACACGGCCGGAAGCAGCACCTCCGCGCCATACTGGGGGGGTGCGGAGCAGCTCTGGGCATCACCCACTCACCGGCAAACCCTGCCGGGGCCGCTGCCGAACTGGGACCATGCGACAGCCGCAGCGAGACCGCAGCCACGCGTGAGATCGGCCGGGGCAGGAGGCCTGGCAATGGCCCCAGGGACAGGAGTCCTGGCAATGGCCCCTTCTGGCTTCGACAACCGCCCACCTCCCTTCTGACTGCTGTGTGTGAAAAAGCTGGAAAACTGCTGTGGAGGAGAGCCTGGAGGCTCCCGAAAAGTCACAAACAACTCGCAGCGACTGCAGCGGAAGAGCAAACAACAGAACCGCTATTTATGACCGACAACCACCGCCGTGGAGCCGGAAACGTCGGGCGAGGACAGCGCACGCTTTGGAGGCCGGTCCCGGGGCGATCCCGGAGACGACGCACTGATGACAAGTCCAGCTCCCGGGAAAAGGACAGTCAACGTTTGCGGGCACCGACATAAACGTAACGGGGTCAATCGAGCAAGAGAAATTCTTCCTTTCGGCCATCCCAAATCCACTGAAAGCGTTAACAAACTGCCGTGAAACAAAATAAAACCGTCCGTGTGGTCACTTACACTGAGACACGCGGGACCGAGATTCTCCGCAAACAGCTCCTAAGGAGACCTCAGAAAAGTGTGAAAGCTACTCTGGAACGAAAGCTGGTTAAGGTGAGACATTAGAGACAGAACTGAAAGAAAGCGAGCGGCTCGCGGAATGGGGCAGCGTTCCCGGCAGAGCATCCCAAGCAGCCGCGCGCGGGCGCCCGGAGTTCGGTGTCATTGAGAAGCACCTGGAAAGAGGAAGACAGAGAATGGCAAGGTGTGGACAACACGGTGGTGATGGCAGGCGATGCCCGCACGTTAAGGCACGTCAGAAGAAAGACTTCGGCTGAAACGGGGCGGGGCTGCAAAAACCTCAGGAGAAAAAAAAGCCACAAAACACCCTGAGCAGGACAGGTAGAGTCAGCTGAGCAACGTCGTAGCAGCAAATAAAAGGTGAAGGCACTTATGCAGGGGAGAGTTTACAAGCAACAGTAAATGTTACGCCATTAGCTACTCAACGGTGCGTTCTCACCTGCGGTTTGTCACCTCTACCTCACCAAAAAACAAAAATAATAAAAAAAACACCAACAAAAAAAAGCAAGCAAAAGCAAAAGCAGCGGTTGGGATAGAAAAGATCAGAAAAATGACAATGCAAATGAGGACAAATAAACCGGGAGGGCCTTCCTTATGAGTGGGGGGAGTTGGGTCTGGCGAGGAGTATGAGGATGCGTGTGACGGAGAAAGGTGTCCCGTGACCGGCCGGTGGCTTCTCCTCATCTGCTCTCGCAAGACAGGGGAAAGCTCAACGCACTAAAAGCTCCTCAAAAAGGGTCCCGGAGGTGGTGGTCGGCTCCGTAAAAAATGACTGGTGGAATTCACATGTCTGGAGAGTGAGGAGGGCTTACCCAGAGCCAGACCCAGCACCCCGGCACGAGAGAGCACCCCCAGTCGCGGGAGCAAACGGAAGGACAGACCAAACCTCTGCTCCCGCGAACGGGCAGCTCAGGAACGGGCACAGGGGTGGGGTCTGCACCCTTTGGTCGGAACCCCCCGTCAGCCACCGGTAACCGCGTTAACGG